AGTTTTAAATTTAAATAATTTTCGAATTAATAAAATTATAAAATTAAAAAAAATTATTTTATATAATTCGAAATTTTCTTAAATTTATTAAAATTAAAATTAAATATTTTTAAAAAATCGATTTTTTTCGATAAATCCGAATATTCGGTTTAATAAATTAACGTAACGATATATAAATCGAAAAATTACGTAATTTCGATATTTTTAATATTTATAATTTAATAACTTTATCATTTTTTATATAATTAATATAAAAATTATATATTTAAAATTAATAAATTTTATTATATTTTTATAATATAATTATATTATATAAAATATATGTTTTTTTATAAATTAATAAAATTTAATAATTAACTTAATTAAGAACTTCGGAAATTCCGATAAGTGTTAATTTTTCCTTACGTTTTATTGTGACATAATAACCCTCGGAGCTCGGGCATTATATTACATTATATATATTTTAATACATTAATTAAATTGGCGGGTTAGCGGATTCGGCCTTATGGACCACTCTAAGAACACTAGTACTGCTTGCGCTGTATGGTTTCGGCTAAATGTCGGCGAACAGTAACTTTTGACCTTTCTCAACGCCAGCTATTCGATCAATTGTTTCGCGATAAAATATTGGTCAAAAGTTCAGTAATTACAACTCTTCAATTGCTCTTGTAAAGCGCTTTCGAATGATTTAGGTTGCACCATGACTGAAGCCGAATTGAATTGACAGTGGGCGATTGAAGGTGGATCGGGCTGAGATGGAACTAAAGTGGTATTTCTGTACAATTTATAGCGCGTTCGAATCGGCGCTAAGCCTATTTTCTACAGGTAATTAGTATTCTGATAAAGCCTTTTTAAAGACACTATATTTCCAGTTGTCATCATTTCTCATAAACGCCACCAAACTGATATATTGGTACCTCTCTGAATTACCCAACACCATTTTTTGAAATAGATTTCGCATGCCAACATAACTCTTTATTTTGAGAAGCAGAGTGTCATGTTCTGATACGATGAGTGGGACGTAGAGAATTAGGAAAGCAGCTAAGCAAACGGCGATGGGCGTGGCGAAGGATGTTCCCGAGAGGATCCGGGTGTTGCCGCTCCCGGTCGTCCCAGACAGCCAGGCCGACTCGACATACTCGCCAAGTATGCTAAAATTTTCGTCCATTTTACATGGGGGATTGAAGTCAGACGCCCGGCCATTCCATTTTGTAGAATGTATAGCAAATACTGAGTCCTGGCTAGCAGGGTACATCCTAGGCTGGTCCAGGCCGTCGTTAGAAGCGGCTGCAAAAACAAGGATGTTGTTTTGCGTAGCTAGCGAGATCTCGTCCCGTATATCCGGTACGCCACAAGGAAACCCGAGTGACATCGTGATAATGTCGACTTGCCAGACTACTCGAGCGTGATATATAGCCTTGAGTAAGATCCAAAGTTAGAAATCGTTGACAATGCGTCTGTACACCAGCTATCTATACCGAAGGTGGAAACTAATATAAGAAGCAGGTAACTCACGTTTTTGACACTTTCGGCTGTCCCCTTTTTGAAGGATCGAGATTTACAAACTTTCGCCACGTAAAGGTCGGTGAGATGCCCGTATTTGAGAAGGAGGGACGCGATGAAAGTTCCGTGGCCACATTCATCACCACTATATTCGTCTTCGTCTCCATCCTTGCCGTCCACGAACGAGGCAATGCTTTGTATGCGTCCAGCCTTATATTCGCCTTCGAAGTAGCTATGTCTGAGGTCGATACCAGTATCGAGAACTGCTATTTTCACGCGACCACCAGGTGATTGGGTGCTAGATGGTCCAATCTTATTCTTAATGGTTTCGTTGAAAGTTTCTAGCCAAGATTTAGATTTCTCGGAGCTGCGACTAATGTTAGAAACCTTAAGCTTAGTAAGAGTTTGGTATGTTTGGACAACGTCACTGACTCATTACATCGTTCGAGTTCCTTCTCGTCCCCAAATAAATTGAACCCTTCTTCAAGTTCTCTCAGAAGCTCGTCTGGAATAGTTTTTCGTGGTCTTTTTGCTGACCTGAGTTCTGCGCAAGAAGTGTCTATAATAGTGGCAGGCCCATTCGTTTCCGCATTGCTCTGCTCTAGAAGTTTCCTTTTGTTGTTGGACTTAATTAAAGGTTCCGGTTCCATGGGTTCTAGAGCTAAAGGTTCGAGTCGGTGTGTCTTCAATCTCGGGCTCTTGATAAAACGCCCGAGAGGTATGACAACCTCTTTGTAAATAAATTCTCGAACCACGTTCGGTTGTTTGGATGCCTCTTCTGAGTTAAGACTTCTAAATTATAGTCTGAGGCAGAAACCGACGGCTTTTTTGTAGGGGACCGAAATGAAGCGGAAATCTTCAAATACCTTGTTCGCTAATATACACCACCCATCTAAGTTTTTAGGCGTTCTTGTATCTGAGCATTGATATGGTATTGACGTTCCAACGCATGCAGTTACGGCTTATAGAATCGACATTTCTTCGAGGATAGTATTCTTCTTCTTTTCTCTCTTCTTCTATCGAAGTATTGAACACCGTCTGTAACTGTGATGCTCTCCTAGTATGAAGAATGCTTTTCAAGACTCTATCGCTTCGTGTTAGCTTCTTCATATCAACGAGAGGATAATCTAATAGCCTTACGAAAAGAGATACGAACTAACGCACATCTTCAACCAGTATATTAGGTTCTCTTTTTGATCCCCACGCCGCAGTAGGATGTGTATAGATTGATGCCCTTGGACATAAGTCTGCGCTAGGAGATCTCCCAGCTTCAACTGTACTTCCAATTTCTTATTCTGGCCGCATATATATGGAATAAACCAAAGATTTTATTTATGAAAGAATAGAATCCGAGAGACAAAAAGGCTGTGTCTAAAATAGAGCTCCTAAAATAACCCAAACCTGCTGAAAAATATACTTACGTTATTTTCACAATCAAAATCCAGGGGAAGTAGATGTTTTAAGGTAGCCGCTAGATGTGGTATCTCTGACGATTGTATCGATATATCTGGAGGTCTTTATGTTCTCGAACTTTTGTAGGAGGCAAGAAGCGCCTGACTTCACGAAAATTAGGTGGATGTCCTCGATATCTGAGGAAAGCAAGTAGTGCGTTTTTAACGATATTATAAATAACAAGAGTACCTAGATTCGCGCATCTTGCTAAAGAGTCGGAAGGGAAGGAATAATAATGAAGTTAGTAAAGCCGACTTGAGAAACATTCCTAAGTAACAAGATGGAAATATATAATACTGGCGAGAGACGGCGAAGCATAGGCCATGTCGTACGAAACTTATCGATCTACAATTAATAATAATTTACCATTTTCTAAGGAGAAATCTAAAGAAATCGAACGAATAAGAGAGGTCGGTAGCGCTATGGGAAGATACTTGTTGGTGTAAAGATTATGATATGGAATTTGGGAAATTACCCGAGAATACCTACTACTTAGTAGGTAAGTACTTTAGCCAAATCAATAGTGTACCAGAGGCTCGGGTCGCCGATAGCTTGTCCAACAAGGACCTTTCAGATAGCCGCTTTGGCGTGATCGGATCTGTTTGTTACCATCCCAGAATGGAGACAGAAAAAGTGCCCTATGCGTTAATCCTACTGTATTGGACTGTGGAAGCAAGCATCCCTTACTTTGCTTATATTGGTAGCTTACAACTATTACTGTTATCGTAATTGGTAGAAAATGCCCGTTGTGTACCTAACATAGGGGATGGTTATGATTACAGTGTAGATAGTAAGATTAGCATATGGGGCACTTTTTCTGACTCCATTCTGCATCCTTACCTACCTACTGTTGGTTCGTAGCCAGACCACGGACGGCTTAGGGTCGAACAGGATATGTAAAATCATACAAGTCCGCGTACCTCAGTGCCAATAATTGGAGGATCTCAAATCCGAAGCCGCCTCCGGTCCCAGATTATCCACCCTCCGCCAAAGTACTTTACCAGTGACGAATTTGTATGCGATTATTGCTGCATGATCCTGGGGAGCAAAGTCGGCAGGAACCTAGCCCAGTGGGAGTACTTATGTAGCGATTTTATATTTAACTCTTTCCAGTCTAGCACACTGACTGATAAACGTCGCAGGAAGTACGTTAAACAAGACTTATGTGCCTACGTGTGCCTTGCGACAACCAAACATCTCGTGAGGTGGACATGTAACTCAATTGAGCACCACAACGAACTTGAATTTCTCACACAGACCGACCTCGAGGAGCACATGAAAGATCTGCACCCAAATAAATTTAGCAAAGACGTGGTAGACGCTTGCCGCACCACGATCGAAGTCGTTTTCGAATCCAGTCCTTTCTGTGGTGAGAAGTCTGATGCTGTTAAAGATAATATCTAGCACTAAGGTTTATCTCGTGGTTAGAACATGCGGGGGAGCAATTATGCAGCTCTGTGGGTCCACTTTAATGTGCGTTTTACCAATTATAGTTAGCCTAAAGGTGAGGCTCTATTAGTGACAAAAACCGCCCGATAAGGATTTTTGAAATGATAAGAAGATTACATAAGGATTTAGTAAGAAATCACCTTAAGCGATTATTGGTTAGAAAATTTTTTACTGAGCACTTACATAGTACGTTGTTAAATGAACCCCAGATTCCATTGGCTGAAAACGGCTAGAGCGAAATTAAAGTGTTCCCGCCGAGCTGTGAAATTGTCAGAAGAAGGCTGTAATCGAGGAGGACTCTGTGACCTTCCAGCGTGGCTCCATTGAGCAGGAATACGATATAGACAATGAAACCCACGAGACTCCCGTCGACGAAGGCGGACGTTTTGATTGAGCATGAAGAGTGGGAGATTTTCAAAGAGCGTCTGGACTTAATATTATCCAATTCAGCTACAAAATCGTCCGGAGACTTCACCAAGATTAAGTTCGAACTTACTAGAAAAGAATACTATGATATCCTTGATTTTCCGACGCCATAACTACGAGCGGCGGCAGAGCGAAGAAAGTTCAAAAAGACAACCCGGAACAGATCAATTGTTCCTTGAATCGCGTGAATTCCAACGCTGGATGGACAATACCAATCAGACTCTGTTTTGTCCTGGTATCCCTGGCGCAGGGAAGACAGTAATAGTATCAATGATAGTTGATTCCCTGCTTTCAAAGGCCAGTCAACCCCAGGCCGGTATCGCATTTTTCTACTTCGACACATACATATTCCATAAGCAACCTATTGATACTTTGCTTATGTTCACCCTAAAACAGCTAACCAAGGGCTTCTCTGTCATACCAAACGACGTCGAATATCTCTATCACGAGAACAGGGCGAAAGGGACCTTAGCCACCATAGAGTGAAACCTTTGATGTTCTTCAGCGTGTAGTAACAACATACTCAAGAGTCTTTATCATTGTTGATGCACTTGATGAGTGCCGAGAATCTAATGTATCTTGGAGAGACCTTCTTTCTTTGCTCTTCGGGCTTCAAGCCAAACGCGGGACAAATATCGCCGTTTATTCCGGAAATCATCAATTAATTCAAAAATAGCATCCAACTAGAAGTTCATGCAAGTACCGACGATGTCACGAAACACCTAGAATATCGCATCGCGACGCTGTCCTTTACCGCCCAACAGGATCAGCGACAACGGAAACATATTATAGCAAGGACTTCAGAGTCTAGTGATAGCATGTACGTTCTTAGCCCATAGGGAGAGTGGCATAGATACCTACTAAATATTTGAAAGTTTCTCATAGTACATGCGAATCCACAGACAAGATTCAGAATCCATTTTACTTGCAACGAGAGTTCTATACTGGATCACGTCTGTGAGGTGATCGCTTACGGCATTAGAGCTTCAGCATGCTCTTGCAACGAAAAAAGGCAAATATGAGTTTGATCGCGAGGCCCTGTCGCGTATCGGAGACATCGCCTCTGTATGTGTCGGATTAGTAACTGTTGAAGAAACAGGTATCATTCGCTTGTGCCACTATACAGCGTAAGAATACCTTGAGTGAGAACAGTATCATCTCTTTTTAGACGCAGAATCAACTATAACGGATATCTGATTTACTTACCTTTCTTTCGATGTATTCAATGCCGGCTTTAGCGCGACAGACACCGAATTTGAACAGCGGTTGCAGTCATATCCTCTCTACGATTAGGTATGTTGCCCACAATTGGGGTTATCATGCTACCGTGGGTATAGAGCCAATCCTGCATATTACCAGCTTCCTTGAAAGCAAATCTAAGGTAGAGGCATCGAGTCAAGCTCTGTTAGCCGTCAAGAAGCGCTTATTAGACTCGCATTATAGCTAAGAAGTTCCGAGGCAAGTAACTGGATTGCACTTGGTGGGATACTTCGGAATGACCAAGACTGGTGAAATGCTCATTGGTGCCGGGCACAATCCGAACAGAGCGGATAGCTACGGCCGAACGCCACTGTAATGGGTTGCAAATAGCGTACATGAAGACATACCTAGGTAGTCAAGCTGCTGCACATAAGCGGTGCTGATTGCGATACAAAAGGTGTCAATGACGAAACGCCATTATTTAGAGCTTCTTCTAGAGGACATATAACTGTTGTTCGGCTACTGCTTGACATTGGTGCCGATTACAATCTAAGGAATATCAGTAACGAAACGTCGTAACATACCACTGCCTCTAAGGGACATTGGGCTGTTGTTAGACTACTACTTGATATGGGCGCTGATCTCGATGCGACAGACATATACGGCCAAACACCTTTATCGAAAGCCGCTAGCCACGAATATTATGACATTGTTCAGCAACTACTTACAAACGGCGCCAATTTCGATATAAAAGATAGCGATCATTAGACACCACTGTTACGTACTATCGCGAAAGGAATAGAGGCTCTTGTTAAAGTACTGCGTGAAAAAAGGCGCCGTTACCTAAGCAACGGATTAGTCCGGCTGAGTTGATCAACGAGAAGTACGATGGCAATTTGAATATTTCTTTATTTCCTTGAGTAAAACAAGCTAGAGGGTAGGTAAGTAAGTTGTTGAATCGATCTCAAAGAAAGTATTTCGATCAAAAAAAGTTCTTGTCTTGGAGAGATAACGTGGGTAACTAAAGTTTGACAATATCTCCAAAGCAGAGACCCTAATCTGATCAACCGCGTGACAAAAAGGCATTCAAAAGAAGATACGTAGATGAAAATGTACCTAGCAAACAACAAAATATAAGACTCGTGGTATCATTATCTTAGTGCATGCATGCATCTATAGTAAAACGTACCAAATTGATGAAAGTCAAAGGTTCAATTAGCAAAAATAATGGACGAGCAGGGAGTCGAACCCTGGGCTTCTCGCATGCAAAGCGAGCACTCTACCACTGAGTTACACGCCCCGTGTGGGGATGTCGTTCCAATGCAGGATGAAAGTAATCCAACATTACTGGTTGATGGGAAATTCTTTCCCCAATTGTCATACATATTGATGTGTGCGTATGTATGTGTGTGGATAGTCAAACAGCAGAAAGAAATTTAGTCCAGTGATCTGGTTGGTCGCAGGCGATAGTATAGACGCGCTACTAAGCCCTCTATCGACTATTTAATTATAGCAGGTTACGGTGGACATCGCAGGTTTCTTTTAGTGAGAGAGTATTAGGGCTTAGCGCAAAGGGAATGGCTCCGGATTAGACGATGTGCGAAACCCGTCTTTTTCGAGTCGGCTCCTCTGGAACGAACTTAAACTACACCTACCCAGAAAGCTAGCTGAGCCTCGATCCCGCAGACGATGTGCAATCTCCGGAAACCGCCTGTCTGGAATAGAAAAGTTAGGTGGTGACGCGCGGAAAGCGTCTGCCCCAAAGCCGAGAACCGCGGCGGAGCAGCAGTGCCGCATGCGAAAGATGTTGTACAGCATCGCAACATTGGGCTTTCCAACCGCATAGGCGCGCGTTCTAAATGCGGTATCGGAAGTTAGCCGCGATAATATATTGCATTCGGCTGTGAATACCTACCTACTAGAGCGAGGATTGCGACTAAGCTCCTGCAAGATTATCGCCCTTAACCGCGGGAATATAGTACTTGACCCTTTCATCAGACCAGAGGTTAGTTTATAGAAGGTATTAAGCTGTTGTGGAAGGTCAACTCCGCCGATAATTATGAGGACCTCCAAGATGGAGGATACGAGCTTGGAAATGTTTCAAACAAAAGTGAGAGGGGAGTACTGCATTCCCACTTAAGAACAGATTCTGCGTTCTAGATTCCATCCCCCAACTTCTGCGATTAAGGTGCCGGGAGGATGAGGCGAAGTCATGTTGCTGCAGGCACTCAACGCTGCAGGAGACCTTAAACAAATATGTGTCTGCCGTGGTTCGCTGCACGTGGTGATTCCAACCCCTAAACATTGAATGGGCATGTAAGGGGTTCTATGAAGAGAATATTGACTCTATTCTGGGATGCATACGAGAGCCGACGATGCCAAGAAACCTTTGGCGTTGGTTTGATACCACTGAGTCGCTGCCTTTAAACCTTCCGAGGTTTGCCTTGCACACAAGGGCTGAGTGAACGATAACGAGCTCGCTCTAAATAGACGTCAGTAAAAGAGAACCTACCTGTGTTCGATATCAGCCACAAGTCCTACTAACATCTTTGTTTTCATAGGTAACATAGCCTCAGGTACCCGACTTATTCTTAGAATGGATTTCGGGTCTTTATTCCGACCCCACAAGTTGCGGCGCTCTTCGCTTGCAGTGACCAGTCTGCAGCCTCGAAAGAGTCATTATCTCTCTATCTTACTGTAAGATTTCTAGGCCAGCTTCCCGTCGGCGATCACTGGCTGTCCTATGAGGCGAGCTGCGCCTATGAACCAATCAGCTTCGGCCCCCGTTTCACATTCAGGGCCTTCATCTGCGGCTGAAATGAGCTGCTGATGAAATGATCGCTTTTTGGCTTGGGCACGTCCCGATTCGGATACACACATAACCTTTGAGACGATTACGGATGCCGGAACCATACTTTCACGCGATGATATCGATGTCGCTCATAGTAAGCTGCTCATGGGTTGCTCAAATGCGGAGGGTACCTCGCTCACTTGTTTTGAACTCGGAAACAAACTGCGCCTCATACCGGCACGTGGTCTTGGTACCGAGGGAGCTGACAGAATCTCTCATCCTCTCTGTAGAAGAGGTTAGCACGGAGAAGCTAGGAGTGCCATGTGCTATGCAGGGGAGATATTTTAAGATAATTCTCAAAAAGTACATAGGCAAATTCCGCTCGAAGTCGACGATGGCTTCCAATGCATGCAGGGGAATGTTTCCGATTTATAGAACGTACGCGTACCTACCTTTTCTAGTATCGAGCTTGGCGATTTACCAAGATGAAGCTATTCGGCGCAATTGTTCGATATAGGAAATACCGTAGAAAGCAATTATGGCCCAATAATTCTCTGGTTTCTGACGAATTGGGACATGTTGTCGATATCATCTCCGGTTCATTAAGTGGCTGGCTGATGTCTCGATCTCGGACCACAGCAATCTTAGTTAATAAGCTAGACACGCAAGGTCTACGCTATGGTCTTTGAATGATAATCATCAACATTCGAGTATCGACAAATCGATATATTGCTTTCTTCAGTCGCTGCAGGGTGCCAATTCCATCGTCGTGGCATGGAATCAGCTGATTTATTGATTATCTTGAAAGGAGTTGAAAGATGAATGAAGCAAGAAGCTAAGTTGCTAGGTTACTTTCAACGTAAGCTCGCAGCTGACCCTAGAGTACCTAGAGGGTAACGTCAGGCAGGTCCAGGGTTCGCGGGATGCATTTTTAGATCAGGATTAAGGTTGTGGAGTCCGATCTAGTCTGGAGTCGGACTAGCTCCTCTCTGGGCTCAACTGGGAAAGAGAATGACGACTTCTCGAAGCATCATTGGCTGTTTCAAAACGACGGAGAAGTTAGTGGATCGCAAAGTGACGCCATAAAACTCAAACTGTCAAGCATCCTTGGAAGTACCTAGCTACTTCAATACACAGGTACATGGTAGGTAATTGCGATAAGACATTCCTAGTTTAAACGAACATCTGAACTATTCAGATTTATTCATGGGATATATTCTTAGAAACTTGAGTCCGTCTACCGAAAACTCCTTACGATAGAGCCATGTGGCGACGTGATAGTCTAGACCAAGTTCCGATAATGCACAGGTATGTTTCTCGCTCAAACGGAGGATGATGCAAGGCAAGGCATGACAAGACAGCGCAGATCAGAAAGTGATGCAGACTTCAGGCTATTTGACTTACAACAATGTTAAACCGGCCGTTCGGCAAAGCGAGCTGGAGAAACGTCTAGTGTTAAACAATATCGCACAGAGGTTTATAGTTGGTAGATAGTTCATGCACAACATCGAAGTATCAGAATGTCAGATGGTGTTTTGATGTGATCGACCATCGGAAACATGTAAGAGCAGA